GTTGGTTTGTAAACTGTTAAATAGGCAATGTCATGTTGGTTATAAACTATTAAATAGGCAATGTCATGTTTGTTTATAAACTGTTAAATAGGAAATGTCATGTTGGTTTATAAACTGTTCAATAGGCAGGGTCATGTTGGTTTATAAACTGTTAAATAGGCAGGGTCATGTTGGTTTATAAACTGTTAAATAGGCAAGGTCATGTTAGATTATAAACTGTTAAATAGGCAAGGTCATGTTGGGTTATAAACTGTAAAATAGGCAATGTCATGTTGGTTTATAAACTGTTAAATAAGCAATGTCATGTTGGTTTATAAACTGTTAAATAAGCAATGTCATGTTGGTTTATAAACTGTTAAATAGGCAGGGTCATGTTGGTTTATAAACTGTTAAATAGGCAGGGTCATGTTGGTTTATAAACTGTTAAATAGACAATGTCATGTTGGTTTATAAACTGTTCAATAGGCAGGGTCAGGTCATGTTGGTTTGTAAACTGTTAAATAGGCAATGTCATGTTGGTTAATAAACTGTTAAATAGGCAATGTCATGTTGGTTTATACACTGTTAAATAGGCAAGGTCATGTTGGGTTATAAACTGTTAAATAGGCAATGTCATGTTGGTTTATAAACTGTTCAATAGGCAAGGTCATGCTAGATATTGGCTTTATTTGTGTAATATTGACCATTTGAAACAGTCTTTCCCAGAAAATGGACTCCTAACAGTCATGAATCTATTTCAGTTAAATTATTCATCTATTTCAATAAATCTATGCAATCCAGACTCATGTTGCATGTAAATTTCTGCTTAAAAATTACCATATCTATTGAATAGGAGGAAATCAATTAAAGGTTTTAACTCGTTTTGTATGTGTATACTAATTGTCGGTAATGATACGAGGGGAAGCTGTTGCGCTATCGGGCTAGGCGATCTAGGGTTACGGATATTAACGCATACAGATAAAAATATTATGCGATACCGGTGAACGACAGTAACATTAGGGGCGCACGAATGTCAATACAACCAACATAAATATTGTTAATGACATAAAAAAAGCCATGAAAATGTTCACATTATAATGTTATCAGTCGTTTTATCAGTAAAGAACAATTCATTATGTGTCTGCTTAATTAGTTTGCGAGTCTAATTGCCTCGCTGCGGCCGGCTCAATATCTAGGTAATACGATATTTTAAGTTATTGTGGTCCATTGTCGCATTGTCCGGCTAATTTAACAATGTAGTTTTACTGGTGGCTACGGAGGCTGGGTGAACCGTTACACTGCCGCCATCGCTGTCAGACTGTTGTTGCCTTACAAACGCATTTAATGGTATCAAGTTCTAGATCGGGTGTAGAATCACAATACTAATGTGTTATAATTGGCTTACAGGCCCCATTTACAGTGTCACATGCTCCACTTCTCGTGGATGTGTATTGCTGGTATTGGCGTAACCGGATCACGCCTGTTCGAGTTAAAATGTCCAAATGCAGCGATAATGAACGTTAAATGTTTGCTCAACGCAAATACCGATCTTTCAAATTATCTTCATTTTTTTCCGGAATGAAAAAGCACTCAGTGAGTCTGTGAACCATCAGAAAGGCACTACAGATCGATAGCAACCCCCATCATCAAGTTTGGTCAGATGATGTAGAGCCACTGTCCTTGAAACCGGATGTTGGGACAGTCTGAGCCCGAAATAGCTGGTGACCAGTAGATGGGTAGTCTGGACAACACCGACTAGGTTTAATAGTATAAAAAAAACTATCAACGGTGTCGTATATTATGTAATGTACGGTTACAAAGCCTTAGGGAATTTCTTTTTTTGGTGAGGGGGTGGGGTGTGGGCGTGGGGTGTGGGGGCTTAGGTAATTGATCTGCTATCAGGTAATATTCCACACGATTGTTAAATGGACGTTAGACAAATTCAACCTTTTTTCTAATCGTGTTGAATTTTCTTTGTTTGTTCAATAAAATGTCGACCACGAGAAAACAATTAAATGCCATGTTTACCATTCATCGTCATTGCTATCATGTTAATAAATTATAGGCTGTGAAAAGGTAAAACTTTTAACAAAAAAATACATGTTAAAGCGTGATGCTTTATAGTAGGAATTTAAAAAACGTTTCACTAAATATTATTTCTTAAATTTCTTTTGTAGATTCGTGAAAGTTATAGCGAGCAAACTCGTTCGTGAGTTCTGTGTTCGCGTACTCGTATCCTCTATAAAAATATACGTTGGTCGTTATTCCAAAAAGCCTTTGAGAAAAGAGTTCAGCCTCCAACACCGTCTACCTCTTTCCCGTTGACCCCCTCCCCGTTTACAATCAATCGACCATTCTCGGCCACTTCCGGTAACATGACTCCGAAAAATCGACCATGAAGTGCACTACCTAGAAATGTAATGTTAGCTTATTCTGAGTCATCAGTAACACCAACGAGTTGTTTGTCCTCCCGAGAAAAATCGTCATTGTCGATTTTCCCGAACTTGCCGGAAAGGTACGAGAGTGTACGAATGTTCCACTTGAGAAGGAATGATAGTGTTAGAGTTACGCCCCTTTTATTGATTTTATTGTTTATGGCGCCATGGTTTTAGTTGATGTTTTTTTTAATGATTACAGCTCCAGTTTTGTGGTTTGATGATTTTTTTACACGCAAAAAAAACATATATATATTTTTAATCGACCATGTGAACGACTTTGCAATCAAGTTTTATTATCATAGTTTTCAAATTTTAAATTAAAATATTTCGTCCAAACCTAAGCACAATTAACGTAGACATAGAGGTTCCCCACCGAGTGATGTTGGTTATCATGTTTATCTAACTCGAGTTAGTTAATTTCTAAATTGTATAAAAACACGAGGTGTATCAAGTGTCTTTTACAATTTAAAAATTCAATCACGAGATTTAGAGAAACATGATAATCAATCATCACGATTTTGGAGACCTGTTCCTCCGACATCAGATCTTATATCTAGAAAACCGTATGCGTCTCATTGAAATTCAGTATTCGTGTCTCCAAACGGGAAAAAAATGCCATGAACTAAGACGTCACAAGGGGAGATGACGTCACAAGGTAGTACTACTTGACGTCATAATTATAAGATGGACCAATGAAATAACATACAGGCTGTTACCCACTAGTGGGTATCTAAAAACGTGTACCAACTCCTAAGAATTTATCCAATGAGTTGGGAATTGAAAAAAACCTATAAGAGCTGTGGGTGAAATGCAATGTCATTTTTGTCTATCATCGTGAATTCGTGACGTCATTGAAATATCTCGTGAGACGTCACAGTGTACGTTCAATAACACGTTACGTATCACCGAATTAAAGCCCTGTCACTACAAAAGTGTAAACCACGATAAAAGGCAAACCTTTATTTACATTTGTCAGGGTGGTAAAGGTAAGATAACAACAACCTCGGTCCCAGGTAAAACTATATTTACCCCTGGGTATTTTGGCCACATTTTTTCAAGTTTACAAAACTTCAATCTTCCTACATGTGAGTGGAGAGCACTTTTGGGTTACGTTCCTTTCGCAGTTATTAGGTGCTTAACTTAACAATTATAAAAACGCTACAAAAAGATGATCGTGATGAAAAATGGCGGCCCCATGTTCAGTGACCGGTGTTCTATCGGGGTAATCTGGACCTATAGAATACAACATGTGTATTTAATGCACCAAAATAAAAGATACAAACCTCGGGGTGTTTTTTCAATGTTCTATTTACATTCGATAGAACAATAACTGTTTCTTGTAACGTTTTCTAATTATCGGTTAGGTAAGTATATCCTTGGATGAATGGCCTTGTGTTACTGTGTAAGTAAAGAATCTGTGTCTGGAAATATTAAATATGATATTTGTTTTGTCTAAATATCAGACACTGTTTTATTTGCAACAGGAAATAATGTCTAAAAGAGACGGGTTCTTACTCAATATTCTTAATTCACCGCGTCCCTATATGGAGTGCTACATGTCGGGGAGAAGCAAAACAGACGCCGGAAGGAAGAAACACATATATTAGAACGTATTTGTATTACCTGTTCTCAATAGTATGTCAAGATGTCCTTCTCTAACGAACCAAAATAGGGGAAACTAGTCCATATTTTCTTAAGCGTCGTTGGGACCTTGAAGTATTATATCAGTATATTTTTATGCAATAATTCAAATGCAAACTTACGATGAAACGGAATTTCAAGATTGTGATTGTGACCTTGCAATTTCTCGGTTTTTTAAGGTTATAAATGGCGGATCTAAAGATAGAGAATAGGGGGGGGGGGGGGGGGGGGGGGGTCTACTCTGTTTCAGTTGGTTTATACATGGATACAAGAACTGCATGGTAATATTCTAGTACACGTTTTTCACACAATCCATATTCTATTCATTAGTCAATATCTCAAGGTTTTACCGTTTTATTATCAGTGCATTGAATAACTTTCAATTGGTCACATTGAATGGCAATAAATATAAATTACCATCAACAAACATGGCACAGTTCTGGGTAATATTTCATACCTTTTAGCATCTCATTACTTACTTTCACTTAATTATTTACATGTGTATCAATCAATTCATTAATTTGGCTCTTTTTTACCCATAAAAATGTCATCAATATTTCACGCCATAACGATATTGACTGTTGTACGCCTCATTTCAAATTCACCATCATCGATTGGCGAATCTGATATTTGTGTATATCGTATTGCACGCTATTCGGATCTTTTTTCCTCTGTTTCGACGAGGAAAAAAGATGAACATAATTAGTTGAATAGACAAATTATATGTGAAATTGCTCGACTTCCTTTGTTTAACTCTGACATTTGATAAAACCTGCATTTGCATTATATCCATCCGGGTCTTTCAATACGAGTCATAGATCCAGTTACCTCTCTATCCTTGGTCGATAGCTATCCAGGTATGCCGCTTACCTAAAAAGTGTAAATTAAACATGGCCATCGACATCATGTAATCAAAACACAATGAATAATACAATACCTGTGTCAGATTGTTTTATTGTCATTTTTTTCAACACTTTGAATAATTTTCTCAAAACAATGGTTGAACAAAAAATGCGTTGTCATTGTGGGTGATATGATATGGGGTTGAATAGCGTCTGGTACAAATGAGACATCCCTAACAGAAAACCAATTACTCACTCATCCCATCTCACTCCGACTCTCGAACATCCATCTTTTATTCTTTTCATCTCATCAAGGACTTGTTCCTTTTTTCTTTCTTCAAATTCTCGCAGCTGGGGCGCTGGTCTATTTCTTCAACGATTTCTTTGTATTTTTCTACATAAGTGTATTTATAAGTACATACAGGCAAAAGGTGTTACGACTTTGAAATTTAGAATTAGAATGACTGACCAAAAATCAAATCACAATATCGAAGTGGCTGACAGTTGATTTCTGTATAAGTATTTATTTCAGCGGTGCCCTCGTTTTAGCGCGATTCGAACGTAGTTATTTTAACGGCGCCCTCATTATGACGCTATTTTCTTTTAACCAGAAAAATAATATTTTCGTTTTCACTATAAATTTCTTAACTTTCTTCTATCTTTTATGCAAAATGTACAACAATAAGTAAACGATTAATTGTTGGGGTTAGAGAAAACTTGGAAATACAGTATTTGTCTAAATACTAACGCACATACCGGCTTTAATCACGCAAATACAGATAAAACACGGTTTTACAATACTGAACAGCGCTAAAATAAAGAAGTTCACAGTTTACCTAACTACTTACGTCATCCAGGTACATGTGTTGTGGTTAACAAAATCACGTAATCATTCGTATTCATTCAACTTTCTAAATCATTTATGTCATGAGCGATCATAACCCGAATCACTACAATAAAACACATGTGTTCACTACATGTTTACAGACCAAGATCAAACAAATTGTTCCGTGTTCTCTGCTCAGCTGAAACATTCATGTGACTGATTTATCAAACAAATTCTCATGAAAACGTCTGTTTAGCAGCTAAGAATCCATAGAATGTCAATTTTATTGGCAAATAAATAATTTCAACATAAAAATGCAATAAGTCTAGGAGAAAGCTTCCATTTGATGACGTCCAGACATCATGCGCATTTCGTCATCAGAAACGTCCAAATCCATATCGTCACTAATGTCACTACTAATTTCCGGCGAAGAGCATCTATTTCCGCTTGCACCAAAATCACCGCACTCTTTTCCGTCGCCTTCCTCCGACTTTGTTCGCTTGTGTTTCGTCCGTCGATTTTGGAACCAAACCTTGACCTGGAACATACAAGTTAGAATTCTTCATCAGTTAAGTACACTTATCTAACAAACCTGTCGAAAAGTGTAAACCTGAAGAGATGGTTGCTTCAGATGATCACACAGCCGCTTGCCATTTCCACATGTGGTGCAGTTACTATAGTAATGCCAAGACAGTCACTTTAACCTTTTGACATATTGTAACCTCACCTCACTTCAACGATTTAAAAACACATTTATAGAAAGTAATGTAGTTAACATACGGTCAGGTGATTGGTCTAAACACTTATCGTTCATAAACAGTGTAATACCTACAAGATTTAATTCAAATCCAAAACAGAATATTCTAGGAGTAATAAAATTGCATGGTCAAAAACGTGCATAAACGTGGCCGGAACAATCGCAGCAGGGACGAAAAATACAGTAACCTAAGTTTAAGCTGTAGAGAGGTCATCATGATATGTTCAAAACCGAAAAGTTCATGTAAGTTTAAGGTTTGAGTTTTTGCTAACTCTTTACAAATGTCCTGGTGCAGAGTACCCTCGGCAAACGAGAACGTCTTCGATATCAGAAACATTTTCGGTGTAGGTACTTGAATTGGCCCCAAATCAGGTAGTCGTATTCGGAAAGCCGTAGTGAAATAAAATGTTTGCTCATTTCAGATTTCGTTTGGATGACTGAGTAAGATGTGTCATTATGCCATTCTATTATCTCTGTCAGTCCCAATAAATGTGTTTTTGACGGTTGAAGGGAGGTGGTATAAAGATATAATACGGAGCTTCGTGCCATCTTTCTTATATAATGTGATATATATTATCATATGGGGTTTCATCAAGCGGTGTGTGATTGTTGTTATATCAAAGATAAATCAGTTCGTATCTCCCTTTTAATAAGAAATTACTGTACAAGGAAACTTCTGTTCTTATAAACTGTCTCCCTTTCAACCAGAACATGGTTAAGAGAGGCTAAATGACAGGTTCACTTCTATCTTAATTACACTTGCCAATTAAGACTATCCTACGGAAGTTATCAAATGTACCGTTTGCCAAATCACATGTAAGTCACGCGAGATTACGACGAGAAGTATCAGATATCAGTAGGGGTTCCCTCGGGAGGGGTCAGAAGGGAGGATGTATTTATAAGACTCCTTTGAGGTAATCCCAGGGGCTGGATATTATGAAGGGTATAATAACGGAGTCGTGTATGGTGTCTGGATTTATCACTTCTATTCGAGATATTATTTGCCGGTCTGTATCTAAAACTCCCGTAATGCTTTGATAGTTTTAAGGAGAGCGATAACTATCTAATTGATTGAGGTAGTCTTCCTACGAACACATAAGCCTTTATGTGACGTCATACTTCAATATATAAAAGTAAAACCATCAAATATCTACAGTATAACACGAAATGTTCGTGCGGACTTTCCTTCGTGGTTTGAACCCATTTAGATCGTTTCATGGTACAAACTTTCGTGGATATCCTATATTAACAATCAGTAGACACGTATATCATTCATTTCTGATGTATTTATTTTCGTGGTTCAATATCAACCACGAAAACCACGAATGTTTATACACAACGAACATTTCATGTTATACAGTATGAAAGTTGTTTCCAGTTTTCTTTAACTATCACTAGTACTCCCCATATGAAAAAATGGTAAGATGAAGTTGTAAGTTAGATTGGAACAAAACGACTCAAAGGTGTTAATATATTCATATATTCACTTCACATACATGTACATTTTTTAATGAGCAATAAATGTCATACAACAGCACATTAAGCATGTCTCACGGAGCTGTTAGGCGTGTCTGCATGTACTTTTGTGAATAAAAATAAAAAATATATATAAATCAAGTGGTAAATTAATTGTAATTATACTCTCAGTATGTGTGACTATCTTCATTTGGTTTTTCTTTCATTTTGACTTTCGCTTTTTATCAAAACTTGAAATTATTCGTTCTGATCAATACAATGTACATTGTATTATGTATACTATTCATTACTCGAGTGGCTTACAGTGTCTTACAATATTCTGCATGCGTCGGGTGGTTACTTTTCATTACTCTGTAAACGTGGGTGGGGTGGTTAATTTTCATTACTCGGTAAACGTGGGTTGGCTAATTTTCATTACTCGGAAAACGTGAGGTGGCTAATATTCATTACTCGGTAAACGTGAGGTGGCTTATTTTCATTACTCGGTAAACGTGAGGTGGCTAATTTTCATTACTCGGAAAACGTGAGGTGGCTAATTTTCATTACTCGGTAAACGTGAGGTGGCTAATTTTCATTACTCGAAAAACGAGAGGTGGCTAATTTTCATTACTCGGTAAACGTGGGTTGGCTAATTTTCATTACTCTGTAAACGTGAGGTGGCTAATTTTCATTACTCTGTAAACGTGGGTGGCTAATTGTCATTACTCGGTAAACGTGAGGTGGCTAATTTCCATTACTCTGTAAACGAGATGTGGCTAATTTTCATTACTCGTTAAACGAGATGTGGCTAATTTTCATTACTCGTTAAACGTGAGGTGGCTAATTTTCATTACTCGGTAAACGCCGGTTGGCTTATTTTCATTATTCGGTAAACGTGGGTTGGCTTATTTTCATTACTCGGTGAACGTGAGGTGGCTAGATTTCATTACTCGGTAAACGTGGGTTGGCTCATTTTCATTACTCGGTAAACGTGAGTTGGCTAATTTTCATTACTCGGTAAACGTGGGTTGGCTAATTTTCATTACTCGGTAAACGTGGGTTGGCTTATTTTCATTACTCGGTGAACGTGAGGTGGCTAATTTTCATTACTCGGTGAACGTGAGGTGGCTAATTTTCATTACTCGGTAAACGCCGGTTTGCTAATTTTCATTACTCGGTAAACGTGCGGTGGCTAATTTTCATTACTCGGTAAACGTGAGGTGGCTTATTTTCATTACTCGGTAAACGTGAGGTGGCTAATTTTCATTACTCTGCATGTATTGATGGCTCATGTTTCATTATTCTTTTTTTTTTTTTGTAAACGTCGATGGCTAAATTGACTGTACATTAGTGGAGTGGCTAATTTTCATTTCTCTGCAAATGTCGAATGAAAGAATCGGAGTCATATAACTTTTCGAGATTTGTTTATGGGTTCTTTTCATTTGTATATCCTATAAAATATATCTTTTTATACAGCAAAGGATAGAAACAAGGCAAAGTTTCGAAAGATAACCTATAGTCACCCACCGGTAATGCTTTGTTTATCTACCGAACTGTACACATATCTTAAGATAAAGGTCACAGTGATATACTTGTACTCCGCACCCCGCAAGTCATGCAAGACATGCGTGCATACCGAACCTGGTCACTCCATGTGAAGTGGTATATATAGAAGCTTGCCCCAGACATCCTTTATAAAAGCTAAAATTTCAAACCATAGGTCACAGTGACCTACTTTTTGTACTGCGGGACACTCCACTATCCTAAGATGTACTTGCATACCAAATCTGATTACTCTAGGTGAAATGATATAGAAGATATGCCCTGGACGGAAAAACAGACGGACGGACGGACGGACGGACGGACGGACGGACGGACGGACGGACGGACGGACGGACGGACGGACGGACGGACGGACGGACGGACGGACGGACGGACGGACGGACGGACGGACGGACGGACGGACGGACGGACGGACGGACGGACGGACGGACGGACGGACGGACGGACGGACGGACGGACGGACGGACGGACGGACGGACGGACGGACGGACGGACGGACGGACGGACGGACGGACGGACGGACGGGAACCTATAGTCCAACACCCAACCCCTTCCTCGAAATTCCAGAGGTTAGAGATCTGGTCGGAATTTCGAGGATGCAAACAATCAAAATCGTCATTGTTCAGAGATTTTCGTGTGAACTTCGTTTTTAAGCTTCGTGTGAACCTGAAAATTGGTTCATAAATCCCGAAAGTCGTTAAAAATATATTACTAATATCACCGGAAGTGTACCTGTGTCTCTGTTAGCTGTAGTTCACCAGCCAGGTCCTTCCGTTCCTGGCCCACCACGTAATGACTTTTCTCGAAGGACTTTTCTAATTGTAGAAGCTGAGATGGAGAAAACGCAGTCCGGATTCTCTTCGGTTTTCGGTAGGGTTGAAACAGGAAACCGGGAGAAGCTGTAACTAAAGAAAAAGAAGAACATGTACTAACATGAATTCAAGATAATATATAAAGTATGTCAGAATGTAAGTTATTGATATTCAATGTACGACATTTTACAGTGTCCGTTAACTATATTCAACATAGTGGTTTGTTACATCAAACCCGTATTCATGAAACAATTTTCATGCTCAAGCATGAATTCTGTGCTCAAACCAACTTTCCTCCAATTTGCTTTTATCATGCAACATGGTCAGTCAAGCATAAACATTGAAAATGGTATTCAGCTTTAAGTTTCTCCAAAACACTTCCATATCATCGACAAAATGGGTTTTTCAATAATTTATCACAGAAACAAGATATTGGGCTGGAGCACTTAATCTGAGTTTGGGCATGACAATGATTTCATGAATACGGATACTGAAATTCAAAATAACCGTACGGCACACAAACACCTGAGCCCGTATCCATGTAACTGCTGTCTTGCACATTCACCTTTCTGGTAACTAACTCACTTCGATTATCTGACCGAGTCAAATCCTTAAGTGCTAACACTGAAACACCGTTCGGTTTAAAGTCGCTCTAAAATTCCACCAAATCTTTGAAAACATGTGATTAGTTTTAGATTAATTTATCACTAGTGCAAGAAATTGGGCTTGAGGACAAAACCTGAATTTGAGCATGAGAACAGTTTTATGAAAACGGGTCCAGAAAATTCAACAAAACAGTATACGTCTGCTACGCCACGATTACTCGCTCCGACACAATTTTTTTATCCGGTTGAGAAATCGTGCATTCATCTTACTACCTTTTTATTACATAATTTCATACTGATGTCCATGCGTCTGAAATCGAAAATGAATACATGTTTCATTTTGTCTACCTTTATAAATGAGCTAAATCTCGTGACTCGATTGAAGATATGAAAGCGACTGCAGAGTTTTGCATGTGAGACAAGAAATTAACGAATTAGTCCTCGTTATATTTTCATCGAGAAAAACATGCATTTTATTATTTTCTTTTTGCATAGTTACGCGTGTCATAAATGTACTGTGACACTCACCGTCGCCATCGTGTTAAATTTACGAAATCAGTGTCACATTATTGGCAATTATGACAAATATTTTGTCTACATTTGGATTCAGTTTCCATGTAATCATGCAGATTTTATTATACAAAATGTAGATTTAACTCAAAACTGCGTCTGCGATAGCTGTTGGCACCACTTGTCACGGTTAAGGACGACACGGCATCAGCCATGATGAAAACTACCGCGAAATTAGCATTAAAAATACAGTTACACGTCCGTAATGGTTCAGATTTTCTACAACCTTCCGTGTATAATTGAGCACAGACAACATTTACGGCCGGTCAAAAAGTTTAAAAAAAAACTAAAAAATGATGTGCCAGTTTAAATTCAAATGTAGTTGATGAATGCGCGACATAACTTACACCTCCTAATGGTCATTTAGCAGGTAATGTATTACCTGAAACGAGGCAATCAACACGCTAACACGTCAAATTATTCCGGGTAATTAATGGAGTTGTCTCCCTTGGTTGACAGTGTTGTTAGGTTGAAATCGTTTTAGCATTAGACAAGAACTGTCATAATTAATTACTTAACTTTGTTAATTAGAACGTTAACCGTTGGACAGGAACTGTCATAATTAATTGATATTTGTGTATTTAGTCGCGTTAGGACAGAGAACTGACCACCAACGTCTGTACGAGACGGCGCGACTGTGAAACGGAATATCATGCATACACGACCTTATCTGTATGATGATTTATGCTAATAGCTTACCATATTGTTAATAGCTCGTTGTTTTTTTACAAGTGGTATAAACATTAATACACAATAAATATTTGCCTTGTTACACAAACAATAACAAATTATTTATTTGTGTTAATTTGTGAGGGTGTGTTTTTTTTTATGAAATTAAGGATGCCAGGAAATAGCGCATATACACAGAAAATATGTAGAAAAGATCGTATTTTGGTATAAAATAGTTGCACGCATTGTAAGATTTTTTTTTAAATACAAACATCGAAAAAGAAAAAAATGTAAAGATTCTAGAAAAAAGATCCGGTGCTAAAACTTCTTCCATCTTTGACTAGAAAGATTGGATGAATGTTTGCACATGTAGACCTCATTGTAAGCATATGCGCATAAAGCCTCATTTGTCTGATGAACGTTCGCAGTATAATTATTATCTAAGCCCGGGACACATTTCCGTTTTCAACGGTAAAGCCATTTATAATAATTACGTGGATTCTTTGTGTACATTTAGGCGCAAACTTTGTCATTAGTCAGTGGAACTGGCATCCTCGCGCCCTCGGAGGAAGAGGGTTCAGATTTTGGAGGAAATATTAATGTCCCCTCAGTGAGATGTACACTTCAGTTGACTTGAATTATCCGTTATGATTCATCAAAATCCTCCACACATTACGTAATAAGAAAGCGCAAAGATTTATTGTAACAACTCTGTATGGGATGAGCTTGAAAATCTTCCGTGGAAAGCAAAAGTTGGAAAAACTAGTACAATACCAATATACTGAAATATTTGTCTGTCTTGATGTATATTGAGATATGAATATGAAATATATGCAATAATTTTTCAATTAATTTTTGGAGGATTTAAGCAGAGTTATTTAAACAATATTACAGAAATAAGGTTAACATTAACTTCCAAAACTATATAAAAATAAAGTTCAAATTTCCATTTACTGATTCTCACATTTCGTATTTGTTATATAAAATTATCAAAAATACACACTGAAATTCTAGGAATACAATGTATTGTGATATATATTTCATTATTCTTTAAATTTGAAATACATAAATTGTTTGCAATACCCAACCCTGGTTGAAAGTAGGTTTATTTTACATGTAATGAATGTCTTTCATTTTTTATGCTGTTTATTTGTTTAACAATTATTAAATGTGCGCCTGCAAGGACATATGCCGTTTAAACTACCTTGTCATGATATAATATTTAAACCACTCGTATAGTCGGTATTTTCTCGTTTACGGAGAGTTCCGACAGTTCCCGATTGGACGCCACGCTCCATTTACTGGACAGACAAACGTTTAGGGGCAGACTTGCAAATAAATGATGATAGGCCGACAAACAAATGCCTGTTGGAAAGACAAATAAAATGTCAACTAGAGAAAGTCCAAAACCAATGTCCAGTGGACAGACAGTCGGACACAACTAACTGTCCACTGGACAGACACTGAGACAAGCAGGTATTACGAGTGTCAGTAGACCCCCGTGAGGATGCACTTACTCTAGGTGCGACGCTTAGTGCTAGCTAGTTAACTTTCATTAGCCCATCCATTAATGATTTCGCGACCTTCTAATTAGTAATGTGATTACCGGGGACGTGTGTGATTGAGGTAAATTACACGCTAACGAAGAGAAAACTGCGACGAATGTGGAAACGTTTTTCAGGTGCAAACTTGAGATATATTTACCATGCCGCGTACATTGCAATGTTTTCTAGTTATACATGTCCCGGGGACCTTCTGCTTATACAACTCCTGCATAATGCATATTAGATTCGGCAAACTTTTTATATGAACCCTAGATAAGCTTTTAAGAAAGAAATATCGAGGGAATATTTGTTTTAGCTTCCCTTTATTTTCTATTTTGGTCAGTCATCTCACTGATATTTATCTATATAGTATTTTTTTACATTTTATAATTAATTTAATTATGTATTATGTAAATGTAATTAAGCGGAAATTTAAGCAATTATTTCATTATTGGCTAATGAAGAAAGTACACTTTCCCTCAAAATAGGGAAATTATAACATTAAATTATATTTGATCTTAGGTAATTGGTCTAAGAAGCATCACGTGACAGTTAATAAAACAGTTATATCAACCGGACACAGTTATATTAACCGACTATTTCTATTTTTTAGGAATACCTACGAAATGTTGTAACTTACTCGACATCAAACGTACCTGGTATTTAAGTATAAGGGCCAAGCCAGCTACCGGTAAAGATAACTTTAATATTACTGTACTAACAATACATGAACTAGAGAAGAAAAAAGTCCAAACAGTGATTGTACAGCTGAACTAAACCACTCGGAACATCGCGGCCGATTCCCTCGGTCATCCTTTGATGAACGTATACTGTAATCTGGCCGATGAGTTCCGAATAGAACTACACTTGTCCAATAGAACACGAATTGCAATGTTTTTGAAGCGCAATTGTAAAGGAGATTTCAGACGTCAGCTACTCATAGCCTTGCAATATATATATATGTACAAAAAGTAAACAAAACCCAAACGAAACCAGCTGTCAGCTTCGATATCAAAGTTGGTGGGGGTTTTTGGGTGGGTTTTTTAAGTAACATTAGGCTAAATAAAACCTAATGTGGGTTTCAATTTTTTCTCCGCATCTCCTTCCATCGACATGTTAACTTGCATTGGTATTTATACTTTTTTGATACGTGTTTGGTGTTCTTTATAAATAAGCGAAAATAGTTTCTAAAATCACACGAGTTTATACCTTCGCTGTTCTATTAGATTGTGACAAGAAATAGTAAACAATGTAGATGTATTAGATTTGTTTGGCCTAATGATCGATTACAGAACCATCGTTAGACTGGCATTGGATTACTATCAGAACGTTGTACTTTTACGGAGCTTAATTTACAGGACTACTTACTAGTAGATTCGTTATACATGTACCTATCCTTAAGAAGGGTAAGTACATGTGTACTTACATTTATCCATGAGTATTAATATTACACATACATTTATATGTAACTATAGTCAAGGAGGTGGGGGGGGGGTCAATTTATACTTGCTATCCAAATAAGAATAGGTTCATATTAGGCAATCCCTTTGGACATTACCTACCTTGTACACCATCTAGAGCTAGGGTCATCCCATGACAATCCCATTCCCGGGGTAGAGTTCATATATCTTGTCAATTCCCGGATAGAGTTCATATTAAGTCAAACCTTGGGGTAGAGTCCACATCTAGTCAATCCCTAGGTAGA